GGGACGAGTGTTGTCACCTGTCGACCCTTGATGAGGACGATCGCCTCACTTACGTCGAGCTTGTCCGTTGGGGCCGTTTGCTTTGTGAAGAAGAGCGAGGACCTTGTCGACACACTACCAGCGTTATGCCCCCGACGTCAGGTGATACAGTGCCATCTGTCACTCTGAATGTCTCTAGCGACGCCTCTCTCTATGGCGGTGGTGTCGTGATCTGCCGGCAGTTACCTGATGGCGGTGATGAGACAGTCCTGGTCGACGCTCTACGCTTTAGTCCACGGCAGACCTTCTACAGCTCGAATAGGAGAGAGCTTCTGGTGTGTCTGCAGGCGCTCCGGGCGTTATCTTCGCTATTGGACTTCGTAAGGTCGGCAGCGACTGCTCAAGACCGTGGTCTACGGCTCAAAGTCAACTTTGTGTCTGATAACTCCTCATCGGTTTCCTGGATTGGTAACCCCGAGGCGGTCCTCCGCCTCCAGTCGTCCAAGGCCTTGGAGAAGAGAGCTGTCGCCCGACTCGTCGACGCTATTAGCCTCGAGCTTGATGCTATCTGCAAGGTCTGTGGCAAAGACAACTTTAGTGTCTCACATGTCAGCGGGGAGGCCAATGTCCTAGCTGATAAGGAGAGTCGGCGGCTTGACCGTGTGGTCGCGGACTCAGGAGGTCGGTCATTGGGATCGCTAACCTCCTACTCTAAGACTGATGGCGTCAGAGTGGCTGAGATCGCCAACAACACTGCCAACGACGATCTCTGCTGCAGCGTGACGGATCTGAGCGGGCCCACCACCTCTTGTGGGTTCTGTTCCACATTGACCGATGACATCATTCAGGCGGATGATATTTCATTAGAATCTGACTACTTCAACTCTCACCGGTCGGTTATATCCCTCCGAGATTATTGTTGCTTGGTCAAGGAAGATACTGACTCTCCAGTTGAAGTTCTCTCGGGCTCACTTTGGGGGCGACTTACTCGCTCAGTCACAGGTTGCAGACAGCAGGCTGATAATGTCGCGGTGGAGGATGCTATCTTCATCGTGCGTGACTCTCTTTATGTAGCATCGCAAGAAGCCTGCGTGAGCAACCCTGAACCACTCGTGGAGATCCTAGCACGCGATGCCTGGGACTTGGACGCGGTACTTCAGATGATCAGCCTTCTCCGAGGCGTTCTTCGGGTCCTATGGCTCAATCGGCGATGCGATGCTCAGGGTTCGACAATCCAAGTCGAGCTTTTCCGCCTGTGGAATGACGACGATGTCCTTGCCGCCGCCCATTCGGCTCAGGGGGGAGGTGAGGTCAGCCACGCCAGTAGACCAGCTGCTGCCTCACCCCTACAGCCCTGTGGTAGCGCCGCTATCAAGGACGTCACAACTCACAGGTGTGGTCTTCCTAGTGGAGAGGTTATCTTTCAACCGGTGATACCGAGCACTGCTCCTCGTTTCGCTCGAAAGATCGTCCTGTCGGCTCATCGGTCCTGTAAGCATGGTAACCTCCCCTTTACCGTCGGATCTATCAAACTCTACCATCTGCCTTCTGCGATACGCCTATGTAAAGAGATACTGGCAAACTGCTTGGCGTGCCGTATCATACGAGCTTCCCGCACATGGAGTGCTCCCAGTGGTGTACTCGCCGACGAGGACGCCACAGTAGAGGATATGTTCAGGAGCCCGCCTTACACCTACGCCACTTGTGACGTGTTGTCTGTAGGGGATGGGTGTAAGCTACTTACTGTACAATGCCGGGCGAGCCGCCATATCTGTTGGAAGC